CAAAACACTAAGACAAAGTATTATTATCTTTACAAAAAGACTAGTTACAGCCATTTAAAAATTACTATATTTTGAAATTTGAAAATTTTGCATAATCCTCAAAATTTTTAATCAAACTATTAGTCAGTATTGTATTTTTATATATTACAAATTCCAAAAATGGTTCTCAGTACGTAGTGTAGGTGGCAGCACACATGATAATAATAAGATAAATGAATTAATCGTATGATTACAAATTACAAGTAATCATGGATTATAATTTTGTTCCATATTAGTTTATATTAATTATCCATGTTTGTAATTTTCTTATATATAGGTACACCTTTTTTTACTAGTTTTTCTGGCTTTTATTACAGATTCTGATTTAAACAAAAATGGGTTCCCTGGGGGTCCATATTCGAATGCGAAAAGCATGTTCAAACCACCAAAATAATTGGTATTGCTCACTCGCTCTTAAGCGATGTTTAATGATTAAGTAAAAAAAATTTAAGGGAATATGCAGGTATCAACGTTGATGTAAGCATAGGGGGGAGGGTTTAAAAATTTCTAAAATTCTGTTTACGTAATACCTTAATGACCTCTAAAAGTCGCTAACGGCCCTTTAAGAGACGTCCATTTCGGAACGGACATAACCTTTTTTGATCAAATTTTTTATTCTTTTTAATGAGGAACTTATACATATTTGGAAATATTTATTGCTAAATTCATTTCAGTTTATTTATAACGTATGAGCACATCTTTTACAGTTTTTAACTTTAATCGGTGAAAGAAGACAGTTAAAAAGTAATAACAAAGAAAGAAAAGTCTTTCTTTATCGAAATATTCTGTAATTACAATTTTACAATAATAATTTCAGAAATTTTTACATTTTGTATTAATACACAGTAATACATCGAACATATTAAGTATTCTTTAATGCTTCAAATTTTTAAAATTTATAATGTAAAACATAACATGACATCCGCTTATTGTTATCTATAGGAATTTCCATGGAAATGTTGAAAAAGAAACGAAATTTAATACAACAGTAAAATACATCACAATAAAATTAATTAATCGTTTTATTACATTTTATTTAAGAAATTGTGGACTTTTATTATTATGATAATAATATTTATCAATATTTACAACGCGTTTCTAATAAACATTTAAATAAATCATTCTTTAATTAGAAGATACTGTAGTTGCAATTCAACAGTTTCAATACTATTGAATAAATAGCAAAATAATTTCTACTGGCACAATAAAAATTTAAAATTCGTACTGAACAGCGTTTATTTCCTTTTTAACAATAAAACAATTTAAATATTAAGTACTTAACTATAACTACTAAAATTTGAATAAAGTTCCTAATACCTTTTAATACAGTCTTAGTCAAGATGCCATTCTAAACCTAAATAAGTTAAGTATTTTTACCTATCCAAAAACTTACAAAAACAGTAGGCTTACGAATTTTTATCAAACAAATTAAAGGAAGTAACAATGCTACGCTAAAATTATGAGTTTATGATCTATCTCAAAATAATTCTAAAAAAACTATAGTTTTTTTTCGTGTTTTCGTTTATTTTTGTACGAAGTATAATTTTTTTGACTTTTCCAAGTTAGTTGTAAAGGTATACTGGTATGTAGTAAGGGTTCCAGAGTATTAATATAATTAAACCATAGAGATAATACAGTTAGACTACGCAAGTTCCAGGCTACCGTAAAAGTTGCTGTGAAATGAATAATAATGGGACCATTTTCCACCTTTTCTTTGTGCTTCTGATTGACCGGCACAGGTGACCATCACATATGTTACGTATGCATGCTGAAAACAAAAAACTTATAGATGCTGCCCCTTTATTTTCTGATTTTTTCTTCTAAGAAATACATTTCCAATGAACTTGCTTACTCTAATTGTATTATCTCTATGGATAAAGTAAACAAAAACGAGCAGAACAAACCCAAAGTTTAATGGTACAGAGTATTTCCAGCAGGACGAAAATGGAGCCGAATATTTTAGAAATCATGTTTTTTTAGGCTTTTTGGTCCTTCTGATGGGACCAAGTTGGGTATTTTCATTACATTTCAACCTTTTCGCTCATGTTTTTGTTTTATCAATTTCCAAGCTAGAACCTGTTAAAACTCGCGTAATTTAGTAGAAAAAAAGGATACGTGTCAGGAAATACTTTACTGTTTTGACCACCGATTTTCATATAAAAAAAAAAGATAATAACAGTTGGCGTTTGTGTGTTCATGTTCCCAAGATATTTCGGATTTATACAACTACCTATTTTACATCCATTCTATGGAAAAAAAATTGTTTAGATATCATTAAAGTACACCATGATGGTGATATGCCACTGCAATAAGAATATGAGCTTAAACCCCTTCCATAATTTAGTTTTAGTTTTTAGTATATAACGAAAGAAAAACCACTTGGTATACGCTTATTCGATGGATTTGACAACAACTGTTTCTTCTTTTTCAAAAAGTATTTCAGTAATAATAGTTTAATTTTATTATTTCTTCCGCGTGAAGACGCCACTCTGCGTGGTGAAATGATTATTGTGGTGCTTTGTATCATAAACTTTGTGTTTATTGTTCTCGTAAGTATTTTCATGTAGTTTCCTCAGTTTAATTCAAAGAAATATTACGAAGGATGACTAAAAAATCAATATTAGAACGGACGTAAATTTTTGACTTTTATTTTTCCAAAAATTCTGAAAGTTATGGAAAAGAAAATGCCATTTAAGTAATCTTGAACATTTTAAATGCCTCATTTGGGGTAAAACTACATTTTATAACGTCATAATCTGTCTTTGTACCATAAAGATATTTAGGCCATAGGTCGATATGTATAGTGAATCGACCCCAGAGGGAACGCACTTAAAAGTAACTAGACATAAGAAGCAGTCTTTAATGATAAAATTTTTTGTACATTTATAGGGTTTCTAATTCTTCTGAGAAAAAAAAATATTATCTATTTTGTTTTTTTCTTTTCGAATTATTTAAAAACAAAAGTAGACAAAGATCTTAAAGGTGCAAGATCAATATATTTCGTAAGTAGCAATGGTAAAGGTATAGTTGATGGTCCCGGGTGGGATCGACAGAGGAGGTCTCCCCTACCACTGTACCATAAAAAGTTCGTGACGGTCTCACCCCCATAAAAAGTTATAGGGGTTAGATGATGGCCCCCCACTTCCGAAGGAAGACCTTTACCGTACCAATATCTCCTGAAAAGATGATTCAGGTATCCCTCTGGAGCCAATGCACTGGGATTGTCGTCTTATGGCTTTTAGAATATACGGTAGGTATATTCCTTAGAACATATAAATATTTCCTTTGAAGATTCCTGCAATATGTTTTTATTTCTTCTTTTTAATCCACTGAAGACATACATACAGTATTATAGTCAAAGGTCGATATGCAGTCTCTTCCCGAAATAACTGGTTTATCCTAGGTTTGACCAAAGCCTCCAGACAAACCAATAAAAAAATGCGAATTTAGGCCTTTGACTGAAGTATTTTTAGTTAAACCTAGAAGTTCCTAACTTTTTAGTTAAACGTCGAAAATAAA